CGGCCTCCCAAAGTGCTGGGATTACAGGTGTGAGCCACCCTGCCTGGCCAGATTTATTATTTTAAATGACAATTATCAATGGAATTGTTTTCATAGTATCCTATTAGGTTATTTTTGCTAGTTTATAAAAATAAAAGTGACTGAGTTTTGATTATGTATCCTACAACTTTCCTGAGTTTATTAGCTTTTGTAGCTTTCCTATATAGGATCATGTCATCTGTGTATAAAGATGCTTTTTTCCCCTTCAACTCAGTTTCCTTTTTTTCTTTTCCTTGTCTAAGTACTCTGGTTAGAAATCTCCAGTACAATGTTAAATAGCAGTGGTGAAAGCAGGCATTCTTGTCAAGCTCCTGATTTTAGGAGTAAAGCTTTTAGTCTTTCAACATTGTCACCACTGAGTATGATGTTAGCTTTGGTTTTTTGTTTTTTTTTTTTTTTTTTTTTTTTTTTTTTTTTTTTTTTTTTTTTTTTTTTTAGATGGAGTCTTACTCTGTCGCCCAGGCTGGAGTGCAGTGGTACAATTTCGGCTCACTGCAACCTCCGCCTCCTGGGTTCAAGTGATTCTCCTGCCTCAGCCTCCTAAGTAGCTGGGACTACTGGCGCCGTGCCATGCCTGGCTGATTTTTTCCTTTGTTTAGTAGAGATGGGGTTTCACCGTGTTAGCCAGGATGGTCTTGATCTCCTGACCTGGTGATCTGCCTGCCTCGGTCTTCCAAAGTCCTGGGATTATAGGCGTGAGCCACAGCGCCTGGCAGCTGTGGGTTTTTAATAAATGCCCTTTATCATGTTAAGATAATTCCCATCTAGTCATAGCTTTCTGATTGTTTTTATCATGAAAGAGTGTTAGGTTTTGTCAAATCCATTATCTGTGTCAATTTGGATGCTTATTTTCTAATAATATGTCATTTCGAAATGCAAATCTGTTCAGTTCATTCCACTACTAAGAAGGTTGTGTTTTTTTGTTTGTTTTATAAACATGTGTTATGCTCTGAACCAAGTAACATACTTCTGTGGCCTAATTTTTTTTTTTTTTTTTTTTGAGACAGAGTGTCGCTCTGTCGCCCAGGCTGGAGTGCAGTGGCGCGATCTCAGTTCACTGCAAGCTCTGCCTTCCGTGTTCATGCCATTTTCCTGCCTCAGCCTCCTGAGTAGCTGGGACTACAGGTGCCCGCCACCACGCCCAGCTAATTTTTGTATTTTTAGTAGAGACGGGGTTTCACCGTGTTAGCTAGGGTGGTCTCGATCTCCTGACCTCATGATCCGCCTGCCTCGGCCTCCCAAAGTGTTGGAATTACAGGTGTAAGCCACTGCACCCGACCCTGTGGCCTAATTTTTATGCTCTATTCTTCATCAAAACAAGGCTGAGGTAGGTAGAATAATGGTTCCCCCAAAATGTTCACATGCTAATCTCTGGAACCTGTGAATTTTAGGTTCTATGTCAAAGAGAGGTTAAAGTTGTTAATCAGCTGACCTTAAAATAGGGAGATTATTCTGGATTATCCAGGGGAGCCCAATGTAATCACAAGGGTCCTTAATAGTGGAAGAGGGAGGCATAAAATTAGTTAGAGGAGATGTGACTTTGGAAGAAGGGCCCAGAAAAATGAGACATTGACATTGCTTTGAAAATAGAAGAGGGAAGTCCAAGGGAAAAGATTGGCGTTTAGTAGCTAGAAAGAACAAGGAAAGGGACTTCTCTTAGAGCCTCTAGAAGGGAATGCAGTGCTGTCAACACATTGATTTTAGTCCTGTGAGAGACATGATAGACTTTGACCTACAGAAATGTAAAATTATAAGTTTGTGATGTTTACACCAAGTTTATGGTATTTTATTACAGTAGCAATAGAAAACAAATACAAGTACCCAAGCAAATTTTATTCTACTATTTATATGTTGGCTTATTTTTCCAGTAAAACTTTTTTTTTTTTTTTTTTAAGATGGAGTTTCGCTTTCATTGCCCAGGCTGGAGTGCAATGGCGCAATCTCAGTTCACTGCAACCTCCGCCTCCCGGGTTCAAGCGATTCTCCTGTCTCAGCCTCCTGATTACAGGTGCATGCCACCACGCCCGATTAGTTTTTGTATTTTTAGTAGAGACGGAGTTTCATCATATTGGCCAGGCTGGTCTCGAACTCCTGACCTTAGGTGATTTGCCCACCTCCGCCTCCCAAAGTGCTGGAATTACAGGTGTGAGCCACCGCACCCGGCCAGAAGAACTCATTTCTACATTTCCCATAGGTTGTTTAAATTGTTACTGTTAAAGGAAAGCTCATCTCAAAGCTTCCTCAACAACAAAGCCTTTTATCTTCCACCCCACCTTCCATGCATTCACTGCCCAAATATACCAAGTTTCTCTTTTCTTTTTTATTTTTTGAGATGGAATTTTGCTCTTGTTGCCCAAACTGGAGTGTGATGGCACAATCTTGGCTCACCGCAACCTCCGCCTCCCAGGTTCAAGTGATTCTCCTGCCTCAGCCTCCTGAGTAGCTGGGATTCAGGCATGCACTGCCACGCCTGGCTAATTTTGTATTTTTTGTAGAGATGGGGTTTCTCCATGTTGGCCAGGCTGGTCTCGAACTCCTGACCTTGTGATCTGCCCACCTTGGCCTCCCAAAGTGCTGGTATTGCAGGTGTGAGCCACCGTGCCCGGCATCTCTCTCCTTTTTTCTGTAGTAACTTTTTATATGCCTTATGGTATCTAACCATAAGGCAGTGTTTTAGAATATAATATTTTGAATTAATTTTATTTTAAAAATATTTTATATTGATAATGGTTACATATATATTCGTATAGTTTCTATGTGTCTAAATTTGGGTTGTATATGTAAGATTTTTGTACTTTATGTAGTTATACCTCCAGTTTTTTAAAAATGTAAATCTTGAGTCATGTGTAGTAACACACCCTAGAGTCCCAGCTATGGGACTACTGAGGTGGGAGGATCACTTGAGGCCAGGATTTAGTGGCTGCAGTGCTCCGTGATTGTGCTTATGCATAATCACTGCACTACAGCCTAGGTAACATAGTGAGACTCCTATCTCTAAAAACAGAAAGAAATAAAATAAATAAATAAATGTTACCTTCCATGTTAGGCTAAGTCCCAAGAGATAAGTCACTATATTTTACCCAACTTTGTCTTTTCTATTGAATTGTGTTCTGTATTGCATATGGTAGGCAATCCCTATGTGTACGAATTAACCTAAATGTACTTGTGGATTAAGTTGTATAAATTTATGAAGCAAAATATAATAGCCATAGTGGGAAGTCATTCTAACCATATCTTGAGGATGTTAACATTTGCTGTGAGGCATATTTTTGGTTTATATAAGCCATGGTTATTGATATAGCATCTATCTGAGTAGATACTAAGCAAGGTTAGATTTTTTTCTTCCTTTTTATGTACTCTAGGTACACAGATATATCTGAAAACAAAGGGATATCTATTTGGTTGCTTCTAGGACAATTGAATCTTGATTTATTATGTTTGTCTTTTTTTTTTAAAGATAGAGTCTCATTGTGTTGCCCAGGCTGGAGCACTATCTCGGCTCACTGCAAGCTCCGCCTCCCGGGTTCAAGCGATTCTCCTGCCCCAGCCTCATGAATAGCTGGGATTACAGGGGTGCACAACTACGCCTGGCTAATTTTTGTATTTTTAGTAGAGATGGGGTTTCACCATGTTGGTCAGGCTAGTCTCGAAGTCCTGACCTCATGATCCACCCACCTTGGCCTCCCAAAGTGCTGGGATTACAGGTGTGAGCCACCACACCCAGCCAATTTTTCTATTTTTAGTAGAGACGGGTTTCACCATGCTGGTCTCAAACTCCTGACCTCAGGTGATCCACCCGCCTTGGCCTCCCAAAGTGCTAGGATTACAGGCGTGAGACACCGCACCCAGCCCCAGTCAATTTTTTATCAGGATTGTACTATAGGAATAGTAAGTCTTCTCACTAGAAAATATACCTTGGAGATTGGTCAAAATAAATATTATATTTTAAAAATGCTTAATTATTATTTATCTTTGATGTTGAACATAAAAAGCAGAATTGTTTTCTCCTTTGATGGAAAAACAGTTTCTAGGAATAAAAGAAACTTTAGAACCAATGTCCCTTTTTGTACATCACTTTTTGAGTATTTACTGAATGTAATGTTTGTGTCTCGTAGAATGGAGATGTATGCATTTCAATTCTTCATCCGCCTGTAGATGACCCACAGAGTGGAGAACTGCCTTCTGAAAGGTGGAATCCTACTCAGAATGTGAGGTAAGGTGTTACATAAGGGAGAATCTGGTTTTGGAGTTATTCTTAATCTCCTTTTTGTGTTTGCCCCTAGTAAAATAAAATTACGTATTGTCTTTTAACATGTAAAAAATCATCTTTCTTATATTCAGTTGTTTTGTCTTCAGCTAGAGCTTTAAGAAGTATGTATGCATCATTTTGAAGAGCTGTATTTACTAAACCATAATATATATGATTCTCATTTCCCTATGTTCACTTAGGAATAGATATTCAAGACTGAATCCCTACTCTTACCTTATCCTAGTTATACTTTGGTTCTTTATTACCATCTAACATTAGTATCATTCATTGGTTGCAGTTAATAAATAATGTTAATTCATTTTTACTAACCGAAGTTCATACCCTTTCTCATTTCCTTGGTTTTTACCTGTCGTTGTTTTGCTCCAAAATCTTTCATATGTATAAATATATATGTATATATGTATGTGTATACGTATATGTATTTAAATTTTTTTAGAGATGGGGTCTTACTAAGTTGCCCAGCTGGGCTCAAACTCCTGGCCTCAAGCAGTCCTCCCTACTTGACCTCCCAAAGTGCTGGGATTATAGGCATGAGCCACTGTGCCTTGCTCATCACATTATATTTAATAGTCATGTCTTCATAGGCAACTCCTCTCTCTCTGTCTCTGTCTCTCTCTCTCTCTCTCTCTCTCCGTCTCTCATATTTAAGACAGTGTCTTGCCCTGTCACCCAGACTGGTGTGCAGTGGTGCGATCACAGGTCACTGCAGCCTGTACCTCCTGGGCTCAAGTGAGCCTTTCACCTCAGCCTTCCAAGTAGCTGTGACTATAGGTGTATGCCACCATACCTAGCTATTAAGCAACTCTTGACTGTAAATTTTCTCGTTTTTGATGACAGTTTTGGGGGGTACTGATCAGGTATTTTGTACAATGTTCTCCAATTGAGATTTTTCTTATGTGTTTTCTCATGATTAGTCTAGGGTTATAGGTTTGGGGAAGAAAGACCAGAGAAGTAATGTGCCATTTTCATTATGTCATATCTGAAGTACTTACTATCAGTGTGGCTTATCCTTCCTGATGGGATACCTTTCATCAGCTGCCTGAGATAATGTGTTTAGCTTTTCTCCACTATAAAGTTGCTCTCTCCTGAACTTTTCATTCTGTACTCCTTGGAAGGAAGTCATATGCATAGCCCACAACTAAGGAGAGGGTGGCTATACCTCCGTGAAGCCAAGGTATCTATATAAATTATTTTGAATTCTTCTGCATGGATTGATACTATTCTTCCCCCTTTATTGGTTTATTCAATCATTTGTTAAACATTTTTACTGATACAAAAACTAGTAACTTGATAAGAATCTCCAGGTTTATCAAAAGTGAAGAATTGGAAGCTTCCTGACTTGTAAAAGAAGCTCTTCAAGATGTATCAAATGACTGTTGATAAAGAGTTGAGAAAATAGATATATTAAAGATTTCAGCACATCTTACCAATATATTTTTTAAGACAGAAATGTTACTTTCTTTTTAAATTCAAATAAATGTGTTACATCTCACCTTGACAACCATCATCCCTCTGAATTTTTCTTCTTATATTTCTTTTTTTTTTTTTTTTTTTTTTTTTTTTTTTTTTTTTTTTTAAGACAGGATCTTGCTCTGTCGCCCAGGCTGGCATGCAGCGGCGCGGTCACGGCTCAGCGCAGCCTCAACCTCCCGGGCTTGAGCGATCCTTCCACCTTAGTCTCTCAGGTAGCTGGGACCACAAGTGTGCATCATGGTGCCTGGTCAATATTTTGTATTTTTTTTGTAGAGAGATGGGATTTTGCTTGGTTTCCCAGGCTGGTCTCAAACTGCCGCGCTCAAGCAATCCACTTGGCATCCCAAAATGCTCAGATTATAGGTGTGCCCCAGAGCACCTGGACTAATTAAAAAAATTTTTTTGTAAAGATGGGGTCTTACCATGTTGCCCAGGCTAGTCTCAAACTCATGGACTCAAGTGATCCCCCTGCCTCAGCCTCCCAAAGTGTTGGGATTACAGGTGCTCACACTACACCCAGCCTTCTGAATCTCTTATCTATACAAGAATAATACCTACCTCAGTAGGTTGTTAATAAAATTTAAGTGAATAACGCATGTAAACCTACTAGAATGGTGGATATTACCTGACTGGCTTGGGTTGCAGCTATATTTTCAAGGAATTTTTTGGGTCTAATGTGAAGCAGTCATTTGCTATCTATTAGAAGAGAAGCACATTTCTTAGTTCCTCATGTTTATTTCATTTTGCTACAGGGAGACATAATTACTAGATGCCTGTATCATAACCAATTCAAGTAGTACATAATTTATCTTGGGTGTTAAATACAGGAAAATAACTAAAATAATTGCTTTGAACTGTTTTTGAGATACTCTATAATTGAGAATACACTCTTTTTTTGAGGGGAAAAGTGTCCTACATAGCAAATTATGTATACATGAATTATCTCAATAGACTCAATTTTAAATTAGTATTAAAAATTCTGAGTTTTAGGCTGGGCGCAGTGACTCATGCCTGTAATCCCAGCACTTTGGGAGGCCGAGGTGGGCAGATCACCTGAGGTCGGGAGTTCGAGACCAGCCTGACCAACATGGAGAAACCCTGTCTCTACTAAAAATACAAAATTAGCCGGGTGTGGTGGTGCATGCCTGTAATCCCAGTTACTCAGGAGGCTGAGGCAGGAGAATTGCTTGAACCTGGGAGGCGGAGGTTGTAGTGAGCCAAGATTGTGCCACTGCACTCCAGCCTGGGCAACAAGAGTGAAACTCCATCTAAAAAAAAAAAAAAAAAAAAATCTGTGTTTTATGTATTCTGTATTACTCAAGAGCATGTTTGAGGGTGCTATGTCTTCAGAAGTAACTGTAGCACATTATTTTGACATTATAATTAGACAATGTGTATAAAAGGTTTTTTTTTTTTTTTTGAGACGGAGTCTCGCTCTGTCGCCAAGGCTGGAGTGCAGTGGCCGGATCTCAGCTCACTGCAAAGCTCCGCCTCCCGGGTTCCCGCCATTCTCCTGCCTCAGCCTCCTGGGTAGCTGGGACTACAGGCGCCCGCCACCTCGCCCGGCTAGTTTTTTGTCATTTTTGGTAGAGACGGGGTTTCACCGTGTTAGCCAGGCTGGTCTTGATCTCCTGACCTCGTGATCCGCCCGTCTCGGCCTCCCAAAGTGCTGGGATTACAGGGTATAAAAGGTTTTTAAAGATGTTTTGGATGATTTGTTGAAAAAATTACACCCAAAAAAATCCCCAGTTATCCTTTGATAATAATGATTCTGGTGCAAGGATTTTCAGGACTAGTAGTAACCCTAGATTAGAGGAAGTGGTAGCTACGATACTGGTGATTCTTGGTTTTGATGGTTGAATGTTTAATCAAATGCTTACACCCCCTCCCTATTTGAGAAAACAGGCTTCCCCTTTCCTCAAATACAAAGCCCCAAACAAGATTTTCCTCATTGCATTTTTATGCTGCCTATCTGGATAATGTATTGCTACCACCCACGGGAATTCAGGATTTTTATCCTTTACTTCTCTTGCATTTACATGCAAATGATGTCATTTGCCTTATCTCAGCTTAAAATATTATGAACATTTTTTTGTTTTAACATAGGCCTACTTCTCATGTAACCCAGTCTTTTGGAGGCAGAGGATTCCTTTTATACTTACCTGCCCATCTGAAGCTGCCTTTGTTACTTTAGAGGTACTAGCATCATTTTTTTCTCATTCTTGAGTCCCCAGGCCACCTGAGCCGCAATTTAGGGACATTCCCCAAACTCAAAATCAAGATTGTTTTCCCTGGCTTTATGCTGCTTTGTTTAGAAGCTTCCCAACTACAACTAATTATTTGGAATTACACCTAACATCTTCACACGCAGCTCTACAAGGTATTTGCGTTGGAAATTGTTTATCTTCTTAGACTTTTTATCACTTAGTTCTATGTAATCATTGGGTAGTCCTTCAACATTTTGATCTTACTGGTGTTTTCAGGGGCTGTGGGATGTTTTGTACACTTTTTGGAACCTCATCTGTCTGGAATACCTGGTGGTGCTCAGAACTCTGAGCGGAAATCAGGAAAGCACTACCTAATGAGCAGATGTGGAATACTTTTCCTTATCCCTTTTGTTTCTGTGTTCACTTCATTGTGAGACAAGGGGGGTTTTAAAGTAGTACACTATTATATTTTCTGACAGGTCATTTATGGCACTGAAATATTAAGAGGGAAGATACAAGATGTAGTGAAAATGGGCTACTATTTTTCCTCTTGTACCTCTGCTGCTAAATTATCTAGGGCCAGCAACTGTCTAAGGGTTCTGGGCTCCATGTCCAGTTTATGGGTGGCTGTAGTAAGACAGCAGTGGAGATGGCATAGGGTTCATCTTATCCTGCTTTGGAGTCTTGTCTGCTGCCTCTCACTGGCATCTGAAAGTGATTCCATATTCACGTTTTGGTTTTCTTCTCCATAACCACGTGTACTCAAGGCTGTTGTTCAGCACCTCAGTGGACAATATTTATAACATAAAGTGGCAAATGGAGTACTTCTGTAACTTGAAGAAGAGTAAGGGACTCTAGTTACCTTCAAGAGCCTGAGTCAGTCTGTATTATCAGATCTGGTGAGTAGTGAGTTAGCCAACCTGAAAAGGAAGAATTTTAGGGATGCAGAGAATCAGCCAACTAGTGTTCACTAAAGTCTCAGTAGCTTGCTACCTCTTGGGAAAGCCAGCATACTTCTTTTGAAAGCAAACCTCCACAGACCTCCTCCTCCCAGAGGCCCAGGATTAAATTGGTGGGGCTGGAGATGGTGGGGAGGGTTTCTTCCTGAAGTGGAAAGTTTTGGCATTTGTCAGCAAGAGTGGAGTTGAGAGTTGCCACATGTCTTTGATTAGAAGTTCACAGCATCATGCCTCTTCCTGATGGAGGAAACAAAATGTACCTTAATACATGATTTGTCTAGAATGATGTGGGAGCTTTGGGGAT